GATTAAGTGTAACATCTTGGTAATAGGAGGATTAAGTGTAACATCTTTGTTATATGAGGATTAAGTGTAACATCTTTGTAATAGGAGAATTAAGTGTAACACCTTGGTAATAGGGGGATTAAGTGTAACATCTTGGTAAAATGAGAATTAAGTGTAACATCTTGGTAATACAGGGATTAAGTGTAACATCTTGATAATAGGAGGATTAAGTGTTTAACATCTTAGTAAAAGGAGGATTAAGTGTTTAAAACCATGGTAATAGAAGGATTAAGCGTAACATTTTAGTTATAGAGGGATTAAATTAACATCTTGGTAAAAGGAGGATTAGGTGTTTAACATCTTGTTAATAGGAGGATTGAGTGTTTTACATCTTGGTAATAGGAGTGTTAAAAGTAACACTTTGGTAAAAGGAAATATAAGTATAAGAGGAAAGCTAAGTATTTGACACACTTGTAAAAGCAGTATTAAGCATTTAATATCTAGTTTAATAAAAGAGGGTTAAGTGTCTGCGTGTAAGATTAGGTAATTACAGGGTTAAGAGTTTATAGTTGGCATTTTGACAATACAAGAGTTAAGTGTTTGACATGTTAATAATAAGAAAGTTTAGTTTTTGAGGCCTTGTTAACAGAAGATTTAAGTGTTTGATATCTTGATAACAGAACTGTTAAGTATTGTATTATGTAAAGGCCCAATTCTTCCAACATCTAGACTAATTCTTCATGACAATAAACTAGCAAGTACTTTGAAGTTGCTGGAGCTACACTGTGTAGAGCAATCTATCCACATCATGTGAATGAATTTCAACCAAAAATAGTCTTAGAAAACTTTAAACTTTTCTGTATGTATATCTTTGGTAAAAATGTTACTTTTACACTAATTCAGGTGACTCAAGGTACTTTCAATAATGTATATTCAGGTGATAAATATGACTACCTGTCAGCATTTTAATTTTCTTTAACATCACTCTCAATTTCTTTCTAAGTCAATTTCCAGAAATTATGACATCTCAACTATGTATTTAAGAATGTAGTGAAAAATATAGCTACTACAAGTAGCCAAGTTGCACAAGTGACAGTCACTGGTTTGCAAGTCAAGTTAATAACAGTAATTAAACATTGTAGTTATATGCAGGACTTGGACATTATTAGTGGGTTAAGCAGTTCACAAATCATATCTATATCCAAGTTAGAGGATATACAGTATCAGTATTGGTTAATACGTTAAATAATATACATATCTGCACTGGTCTAGAAGGTAGGAGTGTATAAAAAAATAAACCTGTTTTAGTACGTTAAAGAATATACAAAGTAGATTCTGTGTTGTTGTTAGTGAGTTAAAGAATATACAAAGTAGATTCTGTGTTGTTGTTAGTGAGTTAAAGAATATACAAAGTAGATTCTGTGTTTTGTTAGTGAGTTAGAGAATATACAAAGTATATTTGTGTTGTTGTTAGTGAGTTAGAGAATATACAAAGTACATTCTGTGTTGTTGTTAGTGAGTTAGAGAATATACAAAGTAGATTCTGTGTTGTTGTGAGTTAGAGAATATACAAAGTAGATTCTGTGTTATTGTTAGTGAGTTAGAGAATATACAAAGTAGATTCTGTGTTGTTGTTAGTGAGTTAGAGAATATACAAAGTAGATTCTGTGTTGTTGTTAGT